AGACAGCCCTCACCTCGCCGTGCTCCCCACTCCTCCCCTCGGGGCCACGTCCCCCACTCCCCCTCACCTCGCCGTGCTCCCACTCCTCCCCTCGGGGCCACGGCCCCCACTCCCCCTCACCTCGCCGTGCTCCCCACTCCTCCCCTCGGGGCCACGTCCCCCACTCCCCCTCACCTCGCCGTGCTCCCCACTCCTCCCCTCGGGGGTGTTCTCAGGCCGGAAGTAGAGCTTGAGGGAGACGAGCAGGTTGCCAGAGGCGCGGTCCTCCCACATCAGCTGGGGCTCCCCGATGCTGACGATGTCCTCGTGGGGCCAGATCTTGAGGAAGACAAACTCCCCAAGCGCGAGGAGGCGAGGCGCAGCGTGGGGAGGTGGGGAGGTGTAGCGCAGCCCCTTGTAGAACACGTAGCTCCCGTGCTGCCCACACGGGGACCCCGCGAACTGTGGGGAAGAGGGGGGAATGTGGGGTTAGGGGTGTGACCTCCCAAACGATGAGGGCTGGGGAACTGCGAGGGGAGGAATGGGGGAATGGGGTTAGGAATGGACCCTCAAATGATGAAGGCTGGGGAACTGTGGGGAAGAGGGGGGAATGGGGTTAGGGTTTTGACCCCCCAAATGATGGACCCCACATGGGATGACCAGCAAAATGAGTATGAAAGATGGAATAATTATTGATAATCACTAATAATAATTATATAATAGGAAATTATAAAGGTAGGGGGACTATGAGGGGGGGCAACAAATCAACTGCCAGTAAATAAATAATCAGTACCTAAATAATCACTTTATTTACTGAACTCATTATGTCTAAATCATCTCATTAACAAAGGTATTACTAATGAGTGATTAGGCACACCAAGGCCCTAAGTGACCTGTAACTGACAACTGTGCCATCAAATTAAGAATAAATTAATCAATTAGCAGAATAGATAATAATTAATAGGTAAATAGTTATCAATGAGCCAAATAAATAACTAATACATAAATAATTGATCAATGAGCAGAATAAATAATAAATAATATGTAAATAAGTAATCACTTAGTGGAGCCTTTCATGTAAATTATTTCAGACTATGATGATTAAAATTATTGTTAATTATTTACATTATAATCCATATTACATCATATAAACACAACAACACAATATTAAGTATACAGACAAAAGAAACTTTACATGATCTTCTGAATAAAATTGTGATAGGTACATTTGTTTACAAAAAATTATGTACAAAGAATGAAAGAAAAAATATATATTATACCTATGCAAGTCTTACCTACCTACACACTTAAAACCTACACTTAATGTACCTATATCTTCTTCTGGCAAATATTAAATGCTTTAATTAATTTAATGATAACCTTCATACAAGTAATACATGAAAAATTTTTAAATAAATTTAAATTTGAATTCAATTTCTTTATTAATTTAAAATTTAAAAATATTCCTAGGACAAAGTTGATAGCTACACTCAATCAAATTATGTCTCTTTGTCCAAATAATGATGCACTTTTTGTGCTGGTGTGGGTCATCCTGACTCACTTTGACACGGCAAAAGGCATATCAGGATCATGTCTGTCCCCTGGTAATTAACACGTTGACTACGATTGCTTCATCTTGTACAATTTTTTCATTTTTTTGTACTTTTTTTAAACAGGGTTGCCAGACGGTCATTTTTTCAGACAAATTCCGTGATTTAGTTTTTCTCAATTGCATTGGCCGGATAAAATTTATGATAGGGGCACTTCCTAATTAAATTTTAAATACTTCAAAAAGAAAATAAATGGAATTTTTACAGCAGAACCTGCAAATAAACTAGTATGCATTGAATTATCGGCCTTTTTTGGCCTTTTTTGTTCTTGGATTTGGCCGATTTTAGGCAACCTGAATTATGTACCACTACCTCCTGGAGAAATACATTTCATGGTACGCATATGTACCAATACGTAGTCAACGTGTTAAGAATGTCTGCCACTATTTGGACACATAACCCATTATATTTTTTTGAGTGTACCAGCCTATAGCCCGTGCCTAAAAGAATTAGTAGCCCAGGCTAATTCTTTTATGTTTATTATTTCTGAAATTAATTTTATGCTTTAAAACATTGAAATTTAATAATAAAATCCAATAGAGTTTGTACACTCTAGTTATTGCACAAGTTGAATATACTTTGAATTGAAACAAACATAACAAGACAGGAGTGTGGTTAAGTAAAGGCTTGCACACCATATAAAATTTTTTAAATAATTCACCACAAATGTCAGTATTATTAAACTGATTTCATGTTATACATAACAGGATTTATATATTTCCTATAAAGCTACATCTTTATATACATCCTATATAGGTACATCTTTACATATAGGTACTGTATCCTATAAACATATTTACATATATCCTATATACATCTTACATATATGTAGTATCCTATATATACATCTTAATGTATATCCTATATACATTTTTACAGATATCCTATAAATGGTACATCTTTACATATTTCCTATATACATCTTTATATAGGTATACCCTATATACATCTTATTGAACTTGTATGTATAGGAACAACTTCTGCAAATAAATAAGGCACAAGTTAATGACATTATATTTATAACAGATAAATACATACATCTACAATAATTATACAATATAAATGTACTGGGAATGCCAACAAGACTGGAGCAGTGAGTTGGGGGTTTGAAACTCACAGCTAGCAACAATTCTGGTCAAAATAATTTGGCAAGATATTTCAAAATATACATAGATATTTGTATTTATTTTTCATTAAATTAACTTGCAATAACTTGAAACTTAAAATAATCATTTATTTAGTCATACTGCTTCTCATGACTAAATATATATATATATAACCATATCATGGATTTAAATAGGTACAATTTCTGATCCAGGTAATTTCAATTCAATAGTTATGGCAGATACATGCTTACAGAACCTATATATGACTTCCCTATGGCAAGTTCCAAATAAACCACTTTTCTAAACAGTATTGCAATGTTTGGCAAAAATTTTAATTAATCCACAAATAAGTTACTACATCTACAACATGATTTTCAATTCGTGTTCTTTGGTTCAGAAATTTTACAAGTAATTGTTTGATATCCTTGTTATATTATTATGTATTATATTATTATATTATGTGTTATAGTATATACTTGCTATATGTATTTGTTAGATAAATGATCTTTAACTGCAAGCTAATGCCGTTATTGCATCATGCAATTATAATGCATATAATTTCTATACTTTGCCAATGCTCCATAAAATTCCCGATACATACTGCATGCATTTGAATAACTGTGCTTTAATTTTAAAACATCTAGATTTTCTTCAATTAACTTCTGGCTTGCATCAAGACATTGAGTAAAAGTAGGTTGATGGCAGAGCACTACCAGTAGTAAAATTTGTAGGTACTGTGTAACACTTGAACAGTTTACATCAGGATGGGTGTCATGAGTTAGCATTCCATGAGTCATACTAGAAAAATTATCCAAGTACACAAAGCGGCCTAAGTTCACATAGCGGCCTAAGTTCACATAGCGGCCTAAGTTCACATAGCGGCCTAAGTTGACATAGCGGCCTAAGTTCACATAGCGGCCTAAGTACACATAGCAGCCTAAGTACACATAGCGGCCTAAGTACACATAGCGGCCTAAGTACACATAGCAGCCTAAGTACACATAGCGGCCTAAGTACACATAGCAGCTTGAATACATGTAGTGGCCTGAGTAAATGTAGCGGAAAATTTCTTGTCTGTGATTGGAGGGAATAGCTTGAAAAGCTGTCAGTGATTTGCTGATGGAGTTCCTAACTTGTAATTAAATTATGGCACATGCTTGCTTGTAGCAAGGTATTGAAACTCAAAATTAAATATTTAAATAATTAAATAAGATATTTTTGTCTTGACATTAGTTTTCAATTTAGAAATACAATCCAACACAGCAAGACACTCTGTCAAACATAATTAACTTTAATCTTCAAGGCGCAACATAAAAAAATATATGATTGTTTTTCTTTCAATTCAACGAGTGATCAATAAGTCAATCAATTCTGATAGAAGAAAGTAATTGCACTTTCCCTTAACAACTCAGAATGTTTGAATCAATGTTCTTTATTATGAAGAAGCAAATATCATAATCAGGGTACTTGTGTCCACTGTCCAGTACACTAGTGTCCAGTAGCCTCACATACACTAGTTTACAGTTTACCATACCACAGCCCAGTATACTTGTGTACAGTACGCTAGTGTCCAATACGCTAGTGTGCAGTATGCTAGTGTCCAATATGCTAGTGTACAGTACGCCAGTGACCAGTACGCCAGTGACCAATACACTGGTCTCCAATAGGCTAGTGTCCAGTATGCTATTGTCCAGTATGCTAGTCTGAAGTAGTCTCCCATTCACTAGTTTTCAGTCTAGCAGAGTCCAGTACACTAGTGTCCACTGTCCAGTACAAGCCATCCACAAAAAAGGGTATGCATACCAGGTACCTATTGGGATGTTAATCATTTTACTTCATACAAATATTTACTGCCTGGCACAAAACATTGGATCATGCACCAAAGACATCATCCAATGATGTTATCATTTTAGACCCTAATGATATTAAATTATTGAGAATTATAAATAAACTGGCTTTAAAAACTCTGCCTTATATCACCATCAGTATGACTTGAAAAAATGACACAATTCCAATATATGGTACTCAAGTTTACATGTTCAACTAGACATTTTTTATCTTATTGATAAAATCAAATGATGTTTTCTCTAGGTACTGTCATTACTTTCATCATATCATTAATTTGAAACATATTTCAATATTTCTTAAATACACATTTTCAACCCATGTGATATGTGACATTATGCTTATTGCCAAGCTAGTTTGGATTATCTATCATTTTGGGCCACAATATTCCAAATGTATGTAAAATTTTGCTTTTGGGAGCCACAAATTTTAGTAAAAAGTAGGAAAATTTCAATCCTGACCTGCCGCTCTAATTAATGAAGATAGTCAATATTTTTATTACAATATAGGTACTGTAAAATGGGGTTTCTTTGACTCCCGGGGTCGTTTTTTTCATTTCGTTTCAATGTTCTGCATGCATATTAATTTCATTTAAATTAATTTATTTCAACAAGGAATATGCATATTAAAATATACTTTAGAATTAAAATTCATTTTTCAGAAATTCATAAATATTTTTTATATTCAATTTTCAAACAATGAAAATACTACTATCTTTAGGATTTAAACACTTTTTAATAGTAAAAACATCAAAGTACTACAGATAACCTTTTCTAAAATGCACTTCATTTTAGTCATCAATAATAATGCAACAAAATAATAATGATGCACAGAAAATGATAGTATTGGGAAAAACACATGTCAGCAGCTACAATAAAAAAAAATAAAAAATTCATTCCAATCAATAATAAATAGGTTCAACATATTAGGGCTAACACTGATTTAAACATATTATTATTAGTAAAATTTCAATAAACACACAATTAAATGTTATTAAATAATGAAGTGTTAGGCCTATTAAACTTCAACATAAGAATAAAAGACATAAAAAAAAGAAAAATTAATTAAGTATTGAATTAATACCTAACACAAATAATTACACAATAATTAAAATCAGCAATCAATAACAAATAAAAATAATCTTCACTCACGTAAATCATCATACACGACGCAGCAATGAATGAGGGCTCAGAATAACCGTACGGGCACGTATCTCGAACTTCGATATCAGACAAGAGACCGTCTCAACAAAAATTAGTGACAAAAAAAAAACGAGTGGAATGAGTATAAAAACTCGTTAATATGAATAATTAAAATCAAATCACCATATGAATAATTAGATTATTTCAAGAAATAGCGCAAAATATGGTAATTATTTGATTACAATTAAGGCCGTACGGCCGTATTCAGAAAAATTATCAATGAAAGAGTTTCATGAGCAGGGTTTGCCTCTCAATAGACGCATTAAAACGGCAAGTTTCGGGGCGGCCGAACCAACCTTTACGCCAACATAAAATTCTTTCTCACTCTCTTTAAAAAGAGTCCATACTCAAAACATTTTTACTCCTACACTTTGATAATATATTTAAAAAACTTTTTTAACCATTTACGTACCTGTACTTTGTTATTAGTCATTATAAAATTGAAATAATCACGAGCACCACATTGCACTGCACTCACTTCGTCTACTTTGTATTTACTATAATTACGTGACGTCATAGATTGAAACAGCTACGTCACTGGAATGGGAGGAGCTACATGTGGTCAGAGCCGCGACAGTCTTTTAAAAACCGAAATTGTTTTCTAAATCTCGGTGTACCTTGAATCGAAAATTAAAATGACCGAACATAAATGTGTTATTATGCTCCTCAGTGATTGAAGAAGAAGATTGCTTTTCAAAATATTTTTAATGTATAGACCTGCATCAATGAGATGAGTAATGGAAGAAAGAAATAGAAAAGAGAGTTAAATTTTGTAACTAAAAGTATGGAAGCAAGGCATTGAAAGAAAAGAGAGCCTGAAACTGCATAAGATGACATAGATGCCAAAATATAAATGTATATATGATGGTAGTAGATGTGGGACTTCTCGGACACATCTACGGTCGGACTCGCGGGAAGCCTGCCGAAGACCGGACTCGCAGCCGGTCTCCTAGGTTTAGTGAGCCTAAAAAATATACCAAACTCATGAATTTAGCTTTATAAAACTATGCACATTCATCTAATAAGCCATGACGGTGATGTTCAGGTTGTGATCATTTTTTTCGATTTTGTCTTCGTTTCCAAGATAATTATAAAGGTGCTTGTACACGGGGATAGTGCGGACGGCTAGTAAATCTGGCTAGTGTCGGTCGCTTGGTGACTATCCGGCTAGTAAGCCTGTACACACGAGGAGAGTATAAGGTGCCGCTATCTTCTCGTTCGCGCCCGCCAGTGAGTCGTTAGAAGCCGTCGAGTGAGGTCTGTGAAGATGGATAGTGTGATCACCTTCAACAACTCGAGTCTGTACGTCTTTTTTATACTCCATATTCTAGCCCTTAAAAATACAGCGTCGGGAACAACTAAACCCTGACTAATAAGGTNCCCTGGTGTTGGTTCTTGTTTCAAATTCTAGTAATCATTCGAGGACCTTGGATAAACCATGAGTATGCATGTATACTTCAATGAGGTCTCCACGGAGACGTCGATAACTGAGGCTTATTGAACACGTCTTATTGAACACGTGTGCAAAGTTTCAGCGAGATACTTTCATTAGTCTCGGAAATATTTTAGGCTCACTGATCCTTGGAGACCGGCCGCGAGACCGGTCGTTGAAGTGTCCTAGAGGTTATGTAGGTACGTACAGGTAGAACAAAAGAAAAAGAGGATATTTGTTTAGTATGTAACAGAGGGGAGAGGGAAACTGTGGAGCATCTGATGATGGAGTGTGATGCATACGAGAAGGAAAGACTGGAAATTATACTGGATGAGAGCAGTGAGGGTGATGATGTGATGTATGAGATAACAGGAGACGAATAGATAGTGATGATAGTGGCTCTGTCATCAGGGGAGACAGAGAGTGGAAAGCAATATTTGGAGAGTGCATGGAGAATCAGTGATATAGGAAGAGGTTGGTGATAATGGAGGCCAGAGTGGCATAAAGAATCAAAAAATAATAAAATTATAATAACCGTAACAATTAAAACATAATAAGAAGCAAATAATTATTCGTGGCGAAAGAGTTGCTAATTTATAAAATGAATTTTAAAACTCCAGTGCAATAATAGGGGCAGAGTAATAATTGACCAAATAACTTTTCTATGGATTTTTTTCTCTTGTTCTCATTTTACCCAAAACAAGAACTTTCTCACCCCTCGATCTAGCCTTATGCTCTGTGATACCATCTCGCTTCTGCCTCATCTGGTCTCCCTCTTTTACTAACAAAATGTACATTCGACGCGTGGCAGCTAGCTGATACAGAGGCCTGACGAATGAAACTCTTTTTCAGGGTGGGGGTGCAGCCGTAGTCTACAAATTTTACTCTTAAATAGGGAGACCAGAGCCAACGCCGAGCCTCACCATACATTAGCTTTACTCAGCCTCAGCGCTAGAAGCCGCAGACTACGCTTGAACTCCGTAATGCAGACTAGCGACGGTCTACCTAAAGATTATAGCGCTGTAGGTCTGCAGGCAATACTTATAAGCATGCTCACTCATAAAACAGGCAGTTCCGCATCAACAGGCAGTTCCGCATCTGGTTATACCTACTTCGGCTTGACCTCCTCTGGCCTAACCTATTCACGCTGTCCCGGCTCGCAACTCTTGAACAACCTTCTAGCAGCCACAACCTTTTTGGAGGTCGTACAGAATAGGATAGCTAGACTGGCACTTGGGGCCCCCAGATGGACTGCGGTAGAGTCTTTTAAGAGGAGATATGAAGTGGAGTACGCACTACGCAGGGTGGCCCAGTGGTTAAGGCAGGGTGGCCCAGTGGCTGAAGTTCAGAGTACCAAGATTGGCGCAGAGGGGTGCGGGTTCGATCCCAGCTCTGTGCGTCAGTTTCTGGTCAGAATCGGCAAAGAGCTAGGCCGGGCGGTTAAGCATAGCAAAATTGAATCAGTGAGTTGCGCGTTCAAGCCCGCAACAAGCTATGGATGTTCTGCACTGTTAAACATCGGCGACAGGCCTCCGGCCTAATAAACGCTGAAACCGCTATATTATTATTTATTATAAGAGAAGATTATATAGAGAGAGAAGAATGAAAGCAGCGTTGAGATATTATCATATTAAGTACCACTGGAATGAATGGATGATGAACGCTGGGCAAGGAAGATGTACCTGTGGAATTTGAGAGTNTCTTGAACGCGTTCATGCTCGGAGCGTACGCTGCAATGTAAGATGCCAATTGCCAAAGTGTGAGTGCATATATGATGGCAGTAGAGGTATGGAGCTAATGTACTGCACGAGAGCTAATAATTTGAGTGAATGCACGGACATGCAGGTGGATTGAAAGAAGAGAGGATATTTATTTTGTGTGTGACAGAGGGGAGAGGGAAACCGTGGAGCATTTGATGATGGAGTGTGATGCATATGAGAGGAAGAGACTGGAAATGAGAGAACGCGAGACGAATGGATTACGATGAGAGTGTGTCTGTCAGCATGGGCGACTGCTGCCATGACTGGGAGTGGAAAGCGATATTTGGAGAGTGCATGGAGAATGAGAGATTGGGAAAATAATAAATGTAACAAATATAATGTGAAGGGATACAATTGATTATTCACGGCCTGAGAGATACCAATTTTGATATTTAGTATATGAACATGGAAACTACAGTGCAATAAGTGGGACATAGCAATATTTAATAGACAAAATAAAATTCTTCTTGAATTTCTTTCCCTTGTCTTCATCTTTTTGTTACCACAAAATTTCCAAATCCTCAAGCCTTTGCTATAATATCCTGTCTTCATGATCTCGTTTCCCGTATCTTTTACTTACAAAAACGAATATGTGATTCATGGCGCCTAGCCGATATAAAAGCCTGACTCATGAAAGTCTTTTTTCAGGGTTCACCACGCCCCAAATCCAAAATCCAGTCTATGACTGGCTCTACTAAGGCCCTTTTCACACAGGGCTGTAAATACCGCCAGCGTCCGACGGTATTTACCGCCGAACCTTAGCGGACATAGGAAATGTCCACTGCTGTTCAAACACGACGGCTTTTACAGAGTCGTCAAAAAGGCGTCAAAGTTGCGGCGGTAGATTTGCCGCAGCAGTTTAGCTTGCAATAGTATTCAACGAAATCTTTAACACTGGGCAGTTTTTCACGCCACATCCTAGCAGACAGTGGGGCCGTATTTTAGGTGCATAATAAACAGCATTGCAAGACTGATAGATTATAGACTGATATTGTTACATAAATATCGGTAGCCTACATAAATATTGTTACATAAACATAAAGATATACATTGATAAATACATATTTCCTTAAAGTGATAGAGATATATTTCATAAAAGATATATTTTCCATAAAATATATAGGTATTTCCATAGAAAAATATTTACATTATTCTCACATAGCGATATATTTCCAAATAGAAGTATTGTTGCATCAAATCAACATAGAGATGGACTGATGGTGCATAAAGCATTGCAAGACTGATAGATTCCAGGGGAGCGCAGCAGTGCACCACCAATTTTGAGCACCAATAAGCCCTGAATCGAACGCCTTGGATCTCTCCGGATATCCACCAATCAGCCGTGCACCACTCGGCTTCGTCCTCCTCCGGCCTTGACCACCACCTGCCTTGCACCACCAGGCCGCGGATCGAATTTGACTTTCGGGCAACGTTAAATTACGTAATTTTACGTTCACCGCATCTGAGGTTAGGTGCGGTAAATACTGCCGCGGCATTTTTGACGCGCGCGGTATTTGCCGCCCTGTGTGAAAGCTGCTTTAGACAGCCTTTCTAACTTCCTGCAGCCACTAAGCTGCATTACGCTCGGGAAGGTATAAGAATCGCACTGTGGACTTGGGCTATGCTGACCTCTAGCTATCCACCCATGCAGTATGAGTATGGCCATGCTTACTTTGCGTACAAAAACCAATACACGGATTTTGTATTGAAAAACCACCACAGGTAACTTAATCGAGGTAACTTACAGCCTTACAGGTAACTTAACCTCAATTCCAAGGTCATATATTTGTATGCTCACCGTCTTTTCTGTGATTTGGATGATTGCAATCAACTTGCTATCAAATTGCGATCAACTATAAAGTTTTTCCATTTCGCATACTTTTAAGTGATAATTCTAGTCTAAATCCAATTATTTTATGATTGAATTAGTATATAGTTCAACCAGGCATGATTCTTCTTGCCTAACGTCACTTCCGTTGAAAAAAAATTCTTGTGGTTATGTGTCCCGGAGACAGAGACACTGACAGCTGATTATTCGACAGGATCTTACATGGGAGAGCCGATAGCGGGTGCAATTGCATTGCGTTTGTTCCTGCAGTTTTATCAGTAAAGTGATAGTATGTTACCCGCTATAGATTCCACTATCAGTTGAGATGTGGTGTGACACCGTGTGAGAATAATAATTCATTAATTTTGGAAAATGTACGTATTTTTAAGGTTAAATGAAACTTCTTCATCGTTGATAAGAGAACTGATTTTTCATTGTTGTCTGGCGGATCTCAGCCGCCAGATCTGCAAGTCTGCAACTTGAACTGAAGTTACTGAACTGTTTTGTTCTTTTGCACAAGTATTTATTTGATAATTTTATTTTATAGATCATCTCCATGAATAAGAACTTGAATAAATATTTTGGGATTTGGGGGCAGGCCCACTGGCCAAGGCACCTGGCAGGCTGGCAAGGTAGGTAGCCCAGGGCCCCAGGCCCCAGCCCCCAGCCTCCAGGTGGTAATTGTTCAGACCTTGGTCCTTGGACAGTTCAGAGTGCCAATTTTAAAGTTGCCAAAACTGGAGGGAGGCTCAAGTTGTGCATCTAACTCAAAGTGGAAAATTTGTCAGAAGCTACCCATTAATTCTGAATTGGACCAAAACTTATACAAATCTGGCCAATTTTACCCATTCCTTATATCGTATGTTCCCATGGCCTTTTCCCAATTTCTGCATTAAGATTTTTTAAATAGCTAGCCTTTTTTTACTGGGTCTGGTGGTTATTGGAAATCACCCGTGAAACAATACTTAGTACATACAATTTTAAAAACTTTGTCCCAAGAATTTTCCTAAAATTATGAATGTAAATAATTGTATGTGTAATTTATAATAGTAATACTTGCTGGGTAGTGGGTACTGCAACGCCAGCAGCGCTCTCGTCGATGGCGCCTTCCACGCCTCATGCACCTTCATCAGTCCTGGTGGGTTTTTACTGGGTAGAATAGGCTATTTTTCTCATTTATCCATGCTGAAATTGAGAAAATACCACAGGAACTGGTAAAATTGGTTAATGTTGTACACTAATAATGTAGGTACAGTTGCATAAAAGTTGCAGTTAATGAATTGAAATTGGAATTGGGTGCATGCTGATTGCTGACCTCTAGTCACAACCTTTAAATCTGTCTTTCATGCTGCATTAAGCTCTTTTACCAGCATAAAAAAATCATAAGTTTATGTCACCCTTGGCAGTTAAGAAAAAGTTCCATTAATAAGTATTCATATCATAACAATCCCAAAAGACTAAAACATTCTGTTATGCATGTCATGATGTCAGCACTTAGCATAAACAAAAAACAGAAAAACACATACTAAGAACTTTGGCGCTGTCACCTTTGCCTTCCCATCCTCCCCTTCCACTCCCAGGCTTCCGCAACCTCCACTCCACACCTTTTCCAAATATCTCTTCACACTCTCAAGCATAGCTACAGTTGCGCCCTCAGACAGACCCGCAATCATTGACGACCACTCTTCTTTGCAAAATTTGTAGAATACAGTTGTTATACAAAAAATATTTTGCATAGCATAAAATTTGGAATGTACTCAAATAATGGAACTAGTTCAATTCAATAAAGATAATTGCCAAGATTGCAAATATATGTATACCATGTTTTTGAATATGGCTGAAGCCTTGATTTTGCTATCTTGCCATACATCATCCTTTTAAATAATTGTATTAAAGTTCTTGCCCTGTGTAGACAAATGCAACATTCTCTGAAATCCAGAGCTGGGCAGCACTACTTTGAAATGTAGCAGGCTGCGGCTGCTACTGCTACCGCTACATGCTCTAAATGTAGCAGGCGCTACCACTACCACTACATGCTCTGAATGTAGCAGGCGCTACCACTACCGCTACAATTGCTTAAATGTAGTGCCACTACCGCTACTGAAAATGTAGCGGCCGCTACATGTAGCGCGCTACTGCCCACCAACAGCCCACCTCTGGTAACAACTAACATGTTGACACTAGTAACAGGCTGAGGTTGACAACATTACACCAAAATCTTTTGTACAGTTTTATTCTGTAATTTATATTATGTATCTGTCTCTTATACACATCTAGATGTGTATAAGAGACAGATTTATATTAGGTATGTATCATGCTGGTTTTTAAATAATATTTATTACTATTAAGTAAAATCTAAAGGCTTTATCTATAAATGTAGCGGTAGCGCTGTAGCGGCAAAACCTTGTATTGCTACTTAAATATGTAGCGAGCGCTACCGCTACTGCTAAAATTGCTTAAATATGGCGCCGCTACTGCTACTGAAAATGTAGCGGCTGCTACATGTAGCACGCTACTGCCCACCTCTGCTAAAATCCAAAGTGCAGAAAGTGGGTGAATATCAAAAGATATTTGGCAACACATCTGTAGCAAAATTTATGCCTTTTGAAGATCTTGCTGATACATTTGGATTGAAATTATTGCACCTGAGAAATAATTTTGAAATTACTGAAAATCTGAAAGACCGCAAGCGCCCACGGTAAAGGTTTCCAGTATACGCCGGAAGGATCAGGATGCAGTGAAGCTTGCCAGAAATCAGTTGCAAGTGTTGCGGTGCATGGATAGTAAAGGATATACTATCAAAGTTGCTTGCAGCGCTTATTAAAAATTACCGGTGACGGGGCTTGAAAATGGCTGGCAACGCTTTGGACTAAAAAACCATCTCCTGGTGATGCTGCTTGCACCCTCTACACCCTGGCACTTGTGCCACAATGGATAATGTTTTATGGGCATAACTTGAGAAGTAACTAACATAAAATTTCAAAAACTATGATTTCTAAAGTTGTTGATATATAATTATATAAAATATAATTTCCACTAACTGCAGTAATACCGTAATCCATCTTTTCTCCCTGTTTACAGATCTTCCATAAAATTAAATAAAACTTCTCCAAGCACAATTTTTTCACAATGATATTATGCAGAGATATTAATAAAGTATGAGGTGCTGTTGAAATATGAATATAGAGACATAGTAGAAGCATTCTCATCATCCTCATAGCTTGTAGATAATTCAAATGTTTGTGATGAAATGCCGGCCCTTGTCTTCTGCAAGCGTCGTTGGAGGATTGGCAGCGACGACTTCGTCCTGCCTGGAATCTTGGAAATTTTAATACGAATAGCTTGGTGAGAAATACCTTCATATTTTTGTTTAAATATTAATTTTCATTATTGACTGTACATTAACATTAATGTACATGTACATTAAGATTCATTATTGTAGAATTTCATTCATTCATTCATTAACTACCTTAAATTACCTTAAGTTATACTGAACTTTAAATCAAAAATTGAATGGCTGACGTTAGATAAATCAGCAGTGACGACTTCGTCCTGCCTGGAATATTGGAAATTTTAATACGAATAGATTGGTGAGAAATTCCTTCAGATTTATGTTTAAAACCAGATATTCATTTATGAAAATTAATAAAAAGTAATTCATTTGTTCATAATAATCAGGTAGTGTTCTCTGTTGATTGAGAAATTCCAATATATTTATGTTTAAAACCAGATATTCTTTTATGAAAATTAATAAAAAGTAATTCATTTGTTCATAATAATCAGGTAGTGTTCTCCGTTGATTTGAATTAATATACAGCACTGTATATATTCTATACAATATTATTTTATTTGAATTATCATAGATTTACAGTATATTTTCTATGAAATTAATATTTTCTATTTTATTCCTTCCTCCTCTAACCAAAAACAATATATAAAATTCTATCCCCTCTTGAATTATTAGTTTGAATGTTTTTTTAAAACCAATCTTGTAATATCAATTAGTATTATTCTCGTTGGTTAAAAATATAATCTTGAACTGTTTTTCCACCGCAGGCTCCTCCTAGTGGCCACGCTGTTCATCCAACATGAACAGTTTCACTGCAGCACAGGCAGCACGGAGCTACGAATTTATCTTATTGGTTCGTTGAAACATGTTCTTTCTACTGCATTTTTGTTCAATTAATAAATGTTACAAATGCAAAATTCTCTGAAATCTCTGATTAATTATGAATTTAATGTTGTAATTTATTATGTTGTTTAATGATAAAGGTTACTAATACAACATTTTCTGAAATCTCTGATTGATCATGAATTTAATGTTTTAATTTATTATCTTGATGAACTTTACTCTCTAAAATTACAATAGATACCTACCTAATTCAATAGTTGAACAACATCATAACAGATCAGAGTAGATTTAATGTATCCATAATACTTATGCTAAAATACTTATCTCAATAGTTGAAAATTCCTTGGTTTGGTTAATTAAATTAAATTTAATTTGAATTAGTTAAAATTAACACTAATTAAAATTCCTCAGATGGTCTCATGAGTTGTTTTAAAGTTAACCCAAGTCAGTGCTGCTGCTGTCAGGTTACCAGTTTCAGTGGCAGCCTGATTATTAATATGAGGGCACCAATTGTCCGGATAGGGTCTTTGACTGGCCCAATGATTTGTTATAAGGTATTTTTAATTATATGAACGTTCAATAGGTAGTGATTATTCACTGGATGAACTTCTGAGGGTTACTTGAGGGTTGCTTGAGGGTACAAGGGTTCGATGTTAAGTCCAAATGAGAGGCAGGATGCAAATAATGAGACGTGTAGGGTTTTAATAGTTACATATTAAGAACTTGACATGATAACAAGGATCAGGCTTGATGGTAAGTTATTCAAGGTTGGTAGAGGTTTGGAATAACAAGGATCAGGAGAACGCCGGAGTCTAAGACGTGGTGAGTGTGTCTAGGTATAGTTGCATATGGCTACAGCTGATGGCTATGCTCATCAAAGACTGGCTGGCGGTTGTATATATATGCACAGACCCGCGAATAGTGACATCACACAATAGTGACATCACACATCTATATATGCACAGACCCGCGAATAGTGACATCACACAATAGTGACATCACACATTTATATACGCACAGACCCGCGAATAGTGACATCACACAATAGTGACATCACACATTTATATACGCACAGACCCGCGAATAGTGCCACATCACAGGTGACGTAAGAGAGACTAATGACATCCTGGGAATACNGGTTAACAGTTAACAGTTAACTCACTATGCCCATGAATGTCTAGTGCAGGTTAAGATTTAATATATATAACTCACTATGCCCATGAATGTCTAGTGCAGGTTAAGATTTAATATATATAACTCCCTATGCCCATGAATGTCTAGTGCAGGTTAACAGTTAACAGTTAACTCCCTATGCCCATGAATGTCTAGTGCAGGTTAACATTTAACATAGTTAACTCCCTATGCTCATGAATGTCTAGTGCAGGTTAATATTTAATATATTTAACTTACTATGCCCATGAATATTCCTTGACATTGACCAAAATATATACCTTTTACCCCTAGGGGTTGAACTTTTGACTTCAAATTCATCATCATTCTTTAACATTTACCAGTGTTAGTTTAACGTGAAGCTTTCACCCATATCATTCCTTAAGATTTACCCAAGATTTATTAACCCTGACCCTTGACCCCAGGGTGGTGATGGCTTTCCCCGAGATGGCCTGGCAGCTGATGGGATCCATCTGGATCTTCTCGGGCCAGATCAGCTGCGAGAACGATCCTGTGTGGATCATGTTGAAAGGTCCTGAATAGTCCTGTGTGGATCATGTTGAAAGGTCCTGAATAGTTCTGTGTGGATCATGTTGAAAGGTCCTGAATGCCCCTGTGTGGATCATGTTGAAAGGTCAATATTTAAATTGTTGGAAAATTTAATAGAAATAAGTAAAATAAAAATAAATTTAATACAAAATAAATGAATTAATAATAAATAAACCCCAACACCTCCCCACGCTGGTATAAAGTCTGCTATTCCCCACACCTCCCCATTTTCCAACTATGCAATGATTAATAGGTATATTAATTTATTTACACACCTTTGTACAAAACAGTAATAAAATCATTTATTAATATAATTTTATTATTATGGTATTGATATTATTTATATCATAATGTATTTATATTATTTGATGATATTAAAGGTATATAGTCTGCTATTCCCCACCACCTCCCCACGCTGGTATATAGTCTGCTATTCCCCACCACCTCCCCACGCTGGTATATAGTCTTCTATTCCCCACCACCTCCCCATTTCCCAACTATACAAGGATTAATGTTTGTACAATACAGTAATAATATCATTTATTAATATAACTTATTTATTCAGTACCAATAATAAATTCACTATTCTAATGTATGTATCTTAATTGACATACACCATTTCATTTACAAAGCATCAAGCTGATTATAATTATCATTTTATTAATAATAATAATAATAAAATGTTAGCATTATTTAATATTATTTATTTTTTATTGTTATCATATTACTAATATTTATTTATATTATTATAAATTATTATTATTTTGTATTATTTATGATGACAGCACTGCTGGGGGTGACCTATTATTATTAATAATTTAATATTTTTAATTATTATTATTATTATATTATTTTTTATTATTTATGATGACAGCGCTGCTGGTGGTGACGTGGTGTGCCATCATCTTCCTGCTCATCACAATTGTGCTGCTGTTTGAGCCCATGGCTCGCCCCACATACCCTGATGGTGATGATAGTGATGATGCACTGCACCACACCAACACCACCACCTACACTCATCATGCCCATGTGGGGTAATGTATCAAATTTAGGTTTTTTTAGAATTTTGCATTACAGAAATAATTCTGGATTACAGCGGCATGTTTTTTAAAGTTTTTTTTGTTGTTTTAGTTCAATGTTTCAGTTGATACAAAATTATTAAAAATATTCAGTACAAATATTCAATATAAAAATATTAATATTAAAATGATATTTGATACAAAAATATTAATATTAAAATGATATTTGGTACAAAATTATTGATATTAGAGCAATATTCGATAAGAAAATATGGAAAATATTCAATATAAAATGTCTAAAATATTCTATACAAATATCTGATGAAAAAATATTAATGATAAAACAATATTCAATACAGAAATATTAAAGCTAATTACTCGAGAGTCGAGAAGGACTCACTACATTCAGCTGTGTATTAATATTAATGATTAATAATAATAATATTTATAAATAATTAAATATTGAAGCTAATTACCTGTACAGAACGCACTACATCCAGCTGTGCTGTATATTAATGTTAATGATTACTAATAACAATAATGATAATAAATAATTAAATATTAAAGCTAATTACCTTAGCAGGACGCCCCACATTCAACTGTGTAATAATTAATAATAATGGTAATAAATAAGAATAATAATATTATTAAATAATGAAATATTGAAGCTAATCACCTGTACAGGACGCACTACATCCAGCTGTACTGTATATTAATACGTATTAATGATTAATAATATTAATAAATAATTACGTGTACAGGACGCACTACATCCAGCTGTGGGAGCGCCGCTGCAGGATCCTGTGCTGCGCCTCCTCCAAGGACGAGACCAGCCTTGAGGCCCTTAGGAACGTGGCAGGTGAGGCCTTGAAGCCCCTAAGAACCTCGCTGGTCAGTTTTTATTAATAATTGTCTATTTCTTTACATACATTAACATCTGTAAATACTATTAATTTTTCTTTTAGTTGCTTCAATATTATTGTATTTGTCCAAAATTCAACAGAATATATTCAAGTTGGTAAGAAATAAATATGATGATTAATTTGCAGCTGGGGTCAAATTATCTTATATATATCCAAAATTAAACAAAATATATATAAGTTGATAAGAAATAAATCTGATAATTAATTTGCAGATATCCTGGCGTCGATATTCGAGGACAACGACCTGGTGGCGTCGGACATCGTGGCGGCGCTGGTGCTGCTACGCATGCGGCAGAAATACGCAGAGAAGAGGATACGCAGGGAGATGTCCCGGATGAGGGGTGTACGCACACGGGAGAGGCTGGGAGAACTGCTGGGGACGCTGGACATAGGGGGAGGAAGAGAAGAAATAGGGGGAGGAAGAGAAGAACTAGGGGGAGGAAGACGAGAACTAGAGGAAGGAATAGAAGAACTAGAGGAAGGAAGAGAAGAAATAGAGGAAGAAAGACAAGGAGGAAGAGAACAAGAAGGAGGACGAGAAGAAAGACGAGAACAACAACAAGAAGGACGAGAAGAAAAACAAGGAGAAAGAGAACAACAAAAAGTAGAAAAAAGTAGAGAACAAGGAGGAACAGAACAACAACAAGGAGGAGAGGAAGAAAAACAAGAAGCACGAGGTCAACAGGAGGGACCAGAACAAGAAGGAAGAGAACAACAAGGCCGAGAAGGACAACAAAAAAGTCAACAAGAAGGTACCAAAATCAACGGGTTAGGGTTGCGGGTTGGTGACATATCACCGGAACCCGAAGAAATCATCGATGAAATTAGTCCCACCTCAGGACCCAACCCTAAGCCCCACTCTAGTCCCCACGCTCCACCTTCCCCATCAATGAGGGAGCAAAAAGACACTCCCCAGTCCTACGTAAGTCCCAGGGAGCAAAAAGACACTCCCCAGTCCTACGTAAGTCCCAGGGAGCAAAAAGACACTCCCCAGTCCTACGTAAGTCCCCCCACGTCTTGCATCGCCCCGCCCCCGCAGCCGTGGATGACGGTTGCCAACGCGCAGCACTACATGCGGTTCGCACTAGCGTCCTACGGCTGGCCGTGGTACATGTACGGCCGTATCTTTACTACATTTGGGTCGTTGTGGCCTCATCTAGTGTGCTGTGCTACATGCTGCTGCAGGTCAGATGCTACTGGTTACTAGCTGTACTAGTTCTAGGCACTAGCTGTACTAGTTTTGGTCACTAGGTGTACTAGATGTACTACATGTACGGCCGTATCTTTACTACATTCGGGTCGTTGTGGCCGCATCTAGTGTGCTGTGCTACATGCTGCTGCAGGTCAGATGCTACTGGTTACTAGCTGTACTAGTTCTAGGCACTAGGTGTACTAGATGTTTCTACATGTACGGCCGTATCTTTACTACATTTGGGTCGTTGTGGCCGCATCTAGTGTGCTGTGCTACATGCTGCTGCATGTCAGATGCTACTGGTTACTAGGTGTACTAGTTCTAGGCACTAGGTGTACTAGTTCTGGGCACTAGGTTTTTAGCTTGAAAACTAAGTTTGCCATTTTTGCTTGTCTCGTGAGCTCTAATTATCTCTAGGTAATTTTTTTTATTTGGTTACTAGGTGTGTTATTTTTTGTGCTTTTTTGATTTTTGTGGACATTCCCACTAATATCCCTGAGTTTAATATCTGTAAATTATTAATATTAATATCTGTCGATCGTTATTGTTAATATCTGTCAATTATCTGTGAATTATTCGAGCAGGGAAACGCCAGAGTCTGTCTATGGTGACAACTGCTGCCTCTGTCATAAAGCTGCCATGAAGACCTTGACGGGGCTGACAGATGACGACTTCTGTCTGGTCTACCATCTGAACAACATCTACGACTGTCTCTTATACACATCTAGATGTGTATAAGAGACAGCTTTGGTTTAAGGCGCCAGCCTGAGCAGGTAACCCGCACGCTGGCAACCTGCTTTCACTGTGTGCGTACCCTTACGCGGGCGTCTCGTCAACGCATCTCGGACTTGATCTACCCTAATACATCCGCGAAACACATTGCTCTTTTGACTGACTAAACAGATTACAAGAGGCGCAGAACAGGCACAGCAGGCACAGAACTGACTGAGCAGGCACAGAACTGACTGAGCAGGCACAGAACCTACAGAGCCGGCACAGAACATATAGAGCNTGCCCCGTGTGTTCCGCCACTCTATGTCACTCTTGCCCCGTGTGTTCCGCCACTCTATCACTCTTGCCCCGTGTGTTCCGCCACACTGTCACACTTGCCCTGTGTGTTCTGCCACACTGTCACACTTGCCCTGTGTGTTCTCCCACTCTAAGTTACCATTTTAACAGCTGTGCAATGTTCACAGGTGCCATTTTACGTGGCGGTGGACAGGGCCTCCAGCAGCATCATCGTGGCCATCAGGGGGACCATGAGCCTGAAGGACACCATCACAGACATGACCGCCATGACCGCCCCCGTATACACCGGGGGCCACGCCCCCCACTGCCTCGCCCACAAGGGCATGGTCCAGGCCGCCAACTTTGTCTACTGCAAACTTAGGGAGACTCAGGTGAACTTAGGGAGACTTAGGTGAACTTGGGGGAACTTAGGGAGGAGACTCAGGTGAACTTAGGGGAACTTAGGGAGACTCGGGTAAAATTAGTGGGTACTTTGAAAGGCTCCAGAATTTTTTTTACGCGCCTTTAGAAGGCTTGAAGCTTGTTCAGCTTGAAGCTCCCAGTTTATTATTCTACCACCAATCAATAATCACATTTTTTTTCATTGTAATATTATTAGAATCTTATATATCCTAATAAAGATAATTTTGTACAGCTGACATTTTTTTTTCTATTGTGATATTATTTATCCTAATAAATATTATATAGGTACTAATAAAGCTAATAAAGATTATAGATATTATTTATTCTAATAAAGATATATTATGCAGGTACTTCACCGGGCACTGGCCGCGCACCCCACCTTCCGCCTGGTGGTCACTGGCCACAGCCTGGGGGCCGGGGCCGCCGTTGTTCTGGCCGCCAAGCTCCGCCAGGACCAACACAAAATATCCACTAATTTATCCTCCGTATCCACCAATGTCACCGTGGTCACTGCCGTCCCAGCCACCAGTAAATCCACCTCAATATCCACCTCGCAAGTTTTTTCAACGGCCATATCCACGCCTGTGGAAATTATTTGCTTTGCGTACTCGCCCCCCGGAGGCCTATGTTCCCAGGAGTTCGCTGCTGAGATGAAGGATCGTGTGATGTCTGTGGTGATTGGTGATGATTTGGTGCCAAGATTAAGTGTACATGCAATGCATGCACTGCGTGGTGATATCATCACAGTTCTAGAGGAGTGTGATGAACCCAAGTTCAGGCTGCTAGCTCGGGGGTGTTGGTTCATGCTCGTTGGTATCAGCGAGAAGCGACTTCATCAGAGATATGCTGATAGATCACTATACTATGGTGGTGGTGGTGGTATATTATCCCCAACATCCCCTAAAAATCCCCGTAATTACTCCACCATGGAGGACTCTGACATTCACACATCCACCACAGCCTCAGGCTTCCCCACGACAACGGGTACCCACAACTCCCCAATTCAATTTACCGGGGACTCGGGGCTTGTTGGGACCTCCTTGGAGACTTCCAGCATGGGACTTTTGGGGACCTCAAACACAGTGTCCTTTGCTGGGCCCCAACCTGAAGGTCCCCACGGGACTTCCAGCGTGGGACTTTTGGGGACCTCGAACACCGTATCCTTTGCGAGGCCCCAACCCGAAGGTCCCCAGGCCCCATGTCCCCACCCGACAAGTCCCCGACACACGGAAGTCCCGCTATGTCTGCCAGGCCACGTGCTCCACGTGCAGCCCTCCAGCTACGTCACCCCTGGCAGGTGGAAGGTTCAGTGGAAGCCTCCATGTGACTTCCGCTCCATCATCATCACCCCCTGCATGATGCGGCATCACCTCCCGCAGGAGGTCATGAAGGCTATTGACTTCGTGTTTGAACACAATATGGTGCCTGAGAAGTGATGTTCATTATGATATGAATGAACATAATATGGTGCCTGAGAAGTGATGTTCATTATGATATGAATGAACATAATATGGTGCCTGAGAAGTGATGAACATCATAAAAGAATGAACATGATGTTCCGAGAGAAGTGATGAAAGAATAAATATAATTTTCCTAGAGAAGTGATGAAAATAATGTCCCTGAGAAGTGATGAACACCATGAAAAAATGAACATAATGTTCCTACAGAAAGGATGACATACGTTTACCTTCTTATTGGTGTGGCCAATTATCTTATTTTGTTAAGAGGTTCCGTCAGGTCTATTATCTACATGTATTTTTTTACAGTACACAATTATTGTGTAGCGGAGATACATTTTTCCAGTGATGGTGTGTTTTGATCTCGTTAATATCTTTGTATTGTAAGGATTATGGCACTAGGTATTTACTTACAGTTAATTAATCTGCGATTAACTGGGTAGTATTTATGGTCAGGGTGCAATTTTGAGGAAATGACTCTTGATTATGTAAGACTCTTTGATTATATGCGACTCTTATGTACAACTCTTGAATATGCACGACTCTTGATTATGTATGACTCTTGATTATGCAAGACTCTTGATAACATATGACTCATGATTATGCATAACTCTTGATTACGTACAACTCTTGATTATGTATGACTCTTGATTATGTAGACTCTTGATTACATACAACTCTTGATTATGTATGACTCTTGATAACATATGACTCATGATTATGCATAACTCTTGATTACGTACAACTCTTGATTATGCACGACTCTTGATTATATAGGACTCTTAATTATAAAAGACTCTTGATTATGTACAACTCTTTGATTATATAGGACTCTTGATTATGCAAGACTCTTGATTATGTAGGACTCTTGATTACGTACAACTCTTGATTATGTATGACTCTTGATTATATAGGACCTGTCTCTTATACACATCTAGATGTGTATAAGAGACAGATGTCACTCTTGCCCCGTGTGTTCCGCCGCTCTATGTCACTCTTGCCNGGAATATTTGTATACTGAACGGAATATTTGTATACTGAACGAAATATTTGTATACTGAACAGAATATTTGTTTACTGAACGGAATATTTGTTTACTGAACGGAATATTTGTTTACTGAACGGAATATTTGTATACTGAACGGAATATTTGTATGCTGAACGAAATATTTGTATGCTGAACGAAATATTTGTATACTGAACGGAATATTTGTATACTGAACGAAATATTTGTATACTGGACGGAATATTTGTATACCGAACGGAATATTTGTATACTGAACGAAATATTTGTATACTGGACGGAATATTTGTATACTGAACGGAATATTTGTTTACTGAACGGAATATTTGTATACTGAACAATAATGTACGAGGGGACCAATGCTAAAATAACTTTAATAATAAATCTTTGATTTTTGATATTAAATCATGCTATATTTTTTTCGTCTTGCAATGATAACGTTAGATATATTCGTATATAATTACTGAGTATTATGATAACGTTAGATATACTCATATATAATTAATGAGTGCAGATAAAATTATTAATAAAACTGATATATTCCTGGTCACTCAACTGCCTCGTGATCCGAATTTATAAATAGCAATTAAATATTATTAATTAGTCATTATCACTCAAAGTAATGAATGTGTCTTTGTCCAAATGGCGATGCCTTGTATGGGTCATTCTGACTCACTTTGGCCCGGGAAAAAGGGCGTATCAGTGCTACGTCCTGCTCTCTGTATGAAAGTGTGTCAAACTTTGGACAATAGAAAAGTGTGTCAAAATTTGGACAATCCATTTATTTTTTTGAGTGAATTTACTAAAGATTAATTATTTGAAACATTCTGAATATTAATTATTATTAGTTATTGAAACAATTATTAGAAACGACTGGTGCCTCTTCTAATTCTTGTGCCAAATGCTAGAGTTTTTTATGCGTTCTAGGCTGCCAAATTATTCCATTGAGATTAGCTTTAAAATAATTAAATTAAATTTATTAATTTTGAGATTAGCTTCGAAATTAATTAGGTAATTAATTAATCGAATAATTAGATTATTTTAAAAAAGTTTTGGAAACAAGTTTACCGTATATTTATACACTATATAGATTATCTATTTTATTCTGTTTTCTCTATTTATCTGTTTTCTTTATGGATTTCGTTCCCTGTTTAAATTTCGTGTTTTGTTTGTATTTTCCTGTTTGATATCAAACAGTTACTGTAAAAATTAAAACTTAACTGCGTTCCGTTATTTTGCCAAATAATTTCTTGTAATTTTATTGTATTATTATCATTATTATTATTTTATATCATGAACTGGATTACGATTTCGTTGTAATACTTTTTTTGATCAATATACGGTTGATATTTTTGCTATGGTACTTATGCTATATACACGTACAATTTTTGTACGTTTGGTCGTTATTATTATATATAATAGTAACCTACCAATAACTTATTATTATAAATAATATTGATACATATTAATAATTATAAATAATAATAAGCTCGACAACCTATCAACTACTCAACTTTAGAAATTTTCAGTTTTTCTTCCCTTAAAATTAAAAAAACCACTCATGATGTAATATGAATTATGTAATAGTTGAATTATTACTCGATTTTGAGCTTGATTTTCGGCCGTACCATTCCTACTTTAATCCTAGACTGTAGGATTCCTACACTCAGAGATATGAATGAAACATTGTCCTTGTAGTGAAGAACCTTTCCTTCACTTGGTGAGTCATCCTGACACACTTTGACCTGGAATAAGATAACGTATCACTGCTACGTGCAGTGAGTGTGTCAACATTTGAACAATTTCCCAGACTCACTAGAATTCTTTCTTAACAAACATGTAATGAAATAATGAATATTTTAAAATAAAGAAAAATGATTGGAGTTTAAGCGTTTCTTTATGCAAATGGCCTAAGTAAATTGAGTAAGAATTTAATATGACCCAGTCATATCTGTGAGTGTAATATTACATTATAATATAATTCTATAAAATATAATAAAGTAATATTACATTATAATATAATTATATAAAATATAATAAAGTAATATTACATTACTCACTCATTATTCATCTGGGAAATATTCACGCGGTTGTGTGCTATACAATTAATACAATGCTAATTAATTAATTACAATGCTAGTCCTTTACTCACTTTTATCCAAAGTGGGTCTCCTTTGCGTCTTTGTCCCTAATTTTAGTTAATGTTTTTTTATATATACTTTTTTATTGCAAGTTAAGCAGGTTTCACTGAAGATCAGAGAATTCGTTTTATTGATAATTTTCTTATTAGTTTCTTTCAATAGATCGTACAACATTTTTCAATATTTGTGTACTAAAACTAATAAGAAAATNCTTAGTGGCAGGTGAAGTGCCCTTAGTGGCAGGTGAAGTGCCCTTAGTGGCAGGTGAGGCCTTAAAGCCCTTAAGGGTCAGTTAAGGGTCGCTGGTCAATTATTATTTGTAAATCCAGCCATTATCACATTCTATACATACCTTAACATCTGTAAATGCTACCAAGTTTTCTTTTAATTACTGCATTATTATCATATTTGTCTAAAATTCAACAGAATATATATAACTTCAAGTATTTTCTTAATCACGTCAATATTAGCTTATTTGTCCAATATTCAACAGAATATATAAATATAAGTTGATAAGAAATAAATATGATTATTATTTTCCCAGATATCCTGGCGTCGATATTATCTTAAATGTCCAAAATTAAATAAAATTTAATAATAAATAAATATGATAATTAATTTGCAGATATCCTGGCGTCGATATTCGAGGACAACGACCTGGTGGCGTCAGACATCGTGGCGGCGCTGGTGCTGCTACGCATGCGGCAGAAATACGCAGAGAAGAGGATACGCAGGGAGATGTCTAGGATGAGGGGTGTACGCACACGGGAGAGGCTGGGAGNATAATTATATATAATTGAAGTATATAATACTATCATATAATCAATCACTTGATAATTTGATTTATTATTGAGGTATATATTATTTAGTTCATATTTATAATAATCTTATTCATGGACGTATGAAAATAATTATACCAAAACTATCGCATTATTATTGAGGAATAATATTGCTAGATATTATTTGGTTCATATTTACTTAACGTATGCAATTAATTATACCAAAACGTTTGCCTGAATGACATTTTTATAGATAAATGCATAAACAAATTCGGTATGTATAATCAGGTTGATATTATGATCTTTTCCACTCAACATCGTTCGACATTAATTATATACAAAATATTTTACCTAAACTTGACCGTTCCCTTGAAGTTACGGAAGTGCATTGCTTTTTGGACAAAGATCCAATTATTTATCTGAATATATACAGAACCTCGCTCCATAATGATCCTGGACTCTCTTGGTAATTAAAATTAAGTAATATTTGTATTGATTATTATTAGTTATTATATTCGAACATTTCTCTCGACGTGTATAACTTTTGAAACTCGGGCCTGTTTTATTTATAATATGTGGGATATAATCAAACAATATTTAATTGTTGGTTTTATTAACAAAGTCTTTATTCACACTGCGTTGAATATTTATTGAATACTTAATATTGGATAT